ATTTTGTTGAAAAATATTGAAAAATATCTGTCATTTCAAAGTTTTGGGGTGTGGACCATCGGGGGTAGTCCGTTCCTGACTTTGTAGCAAAACAACTGACTCCTGCATGAAAGCTCATCGACGGGATTCATTTGTTTAGTCAATTACCAAAATTTGGATGATTTTGAATATTCACTTGAAAAGTTATCAAAGAAAAACATTTTTCATTTTGTAACTTCGAGGGCCCGTAACTTGCGTTACGAAGACTTTTAGGAAAAAAAGTTATATGAAGTACTGGGGATATTTTGACCCCATCTATACATTCCCGAGAGGAAAAGAGGAAGTCCAGGGACACCCTGTATATCTGAAAAAACTACACCCAAACGTTGCATCTAATTACTTTATTCGGGTATGAGTATACAAGACACTATACAGTGTTTACTTACAGATGAAGGAATGAAGTTAATAAAAAGTGTTTACTATAAAAGTTTTAGACAGCAAATCATTGCGCTTTTTTTAAATAATCTCCGATATACAAGGTATCATGCTTTCCATGTCATGGGAGAAAATAACTGGGCAAATATAGGATTGTAACACTGTAGATAATATACCGGGCTATTCATCAGGTATTTCAAAATTGATGCCGAAATTTGTCAGAGTTATCGATCCCGAATGAACCTAGTTAATGATAATAATAATAATAATAACAATAAATCATCTTTATTACCTTCAAATACATTTCAAGCAAACTAATCAGGTACAATTTAACTGTTATATGAAGATAAAAAGGGGTAGATCAATTTGCATGATGGCAAATCATCATTTAATTGCTCTCCCACTAAACCTCAAAAATGTCGCCTATTACGCAATGAAACGACAAAAAAATACCTTAAAATACTGTGATTATTTGTTATAGGTGAGTAGCTATTGAATCGTTAATAGTTTAAAGATGGTAGAATCATTTGAAATTGGTATTAAAATGGTTGAAATCATCGCGTTTCATGGGCTCTGGAATGTTTTTATAAATTGCACAGATCTAGTAGCTGAAACTACTTTTATAAAACTCTGTGCCGAAGGGTGGTGGAGTTAGTCGGCCTTTATACCTCACAGTTATGTTATGCACATCAGTTCTAAAAGTAATTTTCTGATTTAAAGCGGTACTTGACTGACAATTCTCTTGTGAAAGAAAGTTGCAGCATGTAACATTCTCTTATCGTTCATATTCAACCAGCCAGTATTCTTCAGTTTATGTGATATTCTTTCTCTTCTTCTGATTGAAAAAATCAACCGTAAGCAGAATTTTGAACTTTCTATATTTTTTCCTTGAATTGGTCGATTTAACGTGATCATGATCAAACATCAGCATAATTGAATATAGATAAAACTAACGATTCAAACAAATTTACCTACACCTTCATGAGTAGGAAAATTTTATGTCCATATATAATTTTTAGCGACCAATATGCACGCCTAATGAATTGATCGACGTGATTTTTGAATTTCAAGTCCATATCTGAAATGACGTCCAAATGACGTTCAGGCTTTTGGTTTCATTGGCAACCTCAAGTGCATGATCATTTACTACTACTTTCACAGATTTGCAATTATCGTTTCTAGAGATTTTCGATTCGAAAATAATGACATTGGATTTACTAAATCTATCATTTCCGACGAGAAACTATAGTACAACTGGGTGTCGTCTGCATACAAATGTATATTACAAAATTCCAAACACTTAGCAAGTTGAGATGTGTAGATGGCAAACAAAAGGAGTCCCAAAATAGAACTTTGTGGCACCCGTATAAGGGTTTTCATGACTTTTTGTGTCCAATGACAGTGTGTACGTTATCAAGATCCTAGCCAAACTATTATTACGAAAAATATTTTTATGACTCTCGAACCGCTAGGTACCTATTTACCCTACATGTAAATCCAAAAAGAAATCATGTTTGGAATAAGATATTGAGTTGTTCTATCATAAAAAATATTTTCGAGTTTCAATTCAATCAATATTAAAAAAAATTACTCAATAATTTATAAATCACATTTTCAAAACATCTCCAAAGCAATAAGACTCTTCAAATGAGTTTTCATTGAAAATGTGGACAGTTGAATAATAGTTCAACTTTTTGTTGAAGTTCATATGAACATACCTGAGAAAACTATTCTTTAATGAAAAAAAGATTTCGGTTTTGTTAATTGTTCACTGAAAATCTCACAATAAAGTGTACCTAGAATACGACTGATATCATCTGATCGAGATTCAAGATGACCTGACCTACAAAAGAACTTTTCGACAAGCAAAGTTCATTTTCAATTCACTGAGAAATGTGAAATTTTTTTCACACTCGGAAAATTTGGGTTGGAATATTTTTATCTAAAATGAATAATCTGGTTGAGAGTCATATCTGGAAGCCCCGACCTGCAATTATTTCAGCTTATCTGCGAAATTACAAAAGAAATGTTCATTGAGAACAATTTGCTGACCTGCAGACCTGCAAAATATTTACACACATGTCGAGAAATTAACAAAAATATTTTAAAAGTTGTATTTTATTTTTCTCAATAGCAATTCTTCGTGAAAATACAATATTTTCAAATATCAACAGTTATTGTTCAGATTATAGTAACATAATGACCACATAATGTTGCTCAGAAATGTGTTTATATGAATCCATTATCAGTCATAAATTCGAGAAGGTCCTTGATCCGTTGTTTGTATTCCTTTGACTTTCTAATATCACGAGAAATTGTTTGCAAATAATCCTGATCCATTTCCACTATTTCGTCAGAATCACGATACATAACCTTTATACCCAACATGGAAAACAAAAAACCAAATTTCACAAACACTTTCCAGTGGCGCTCCAGGAGGCTGAAAGGAAATATTTCTTCCGGGTCACAAGCGAAATCTCTTAAATATTTTCTGACCGTGTCGTGGTACAGATTCAGGTATTTTTTGTAGTCATATAGAATTTCTTTTGGACTGTGCATCAAAAAGAAACACGCGAGGTCAGCGGCTGGGGAATCTTTTTTCGATAGTTGCCAGTCTAGAATACAAACTCCTGAAGGTACTTCGGTGTTGGTTGTTTTCTGAAATTATAGAATATAGTGATTAGCAATTGATAATTTTACTGAAATTGAATCTGGATGTCAATTGCTATGAGACTTGATAACTGTATTTTGGAACTTCTGGGGTGGTACCTCTAGATGAGTTCTTCTTTACGAATCAGGAGAAAGTTGTCCCAAAAATCTTGAGAATAAAATTGGATTAACAAATTGATAGATATAGCCGTTAGTACGTGGTAGAAAATCATAATGAAGAAAAGGGAATTGAAACTTCATATGTTTTTTACCACTTTTATTTGTAACTAACGTTACTGCAGTTTCGTTTAATGTATAAGTTTGAAAATTTCTTCATAGGACGAAACAGCAGTAACGTTAGTTACTAATAAAAGTGGTAAAAAACATAGAAAGTTTGAAATTTGGATTAGATAATTTAGGAAAGACTTGCTACATGCATAGAATTTCACAAGTGTTGTTCATAACGAAGATTTTCAAGAAAGGTTTCGATGATGAACGAGAACGATAATGTTTCCTACTTATTCACCAAACTCAAACACCTGTTCATGCGGCTGCGGTTTCGTAAGAATCTGTTTAAAAAAAACAGTTTTTCCGTTAATCAGCTGTATCATCTTTTTCTCCAACCGATTTCCTGGAGTTTTTGAAGTCCACTAGATACTCGTTAGGACAAGAGGATTATTCCGAATTCTTTGGGTTCTTGTTGAATACTCTTCGTGAGCAAAACAATAGCAGAATCAATACTCCTGAACGCTCTGGATTGAATGATTCCGTACAGTCTATCCGACTTGTGTTTGTAAATCTTTTGCTGGAAAAATCCTCACTCGTTTACTGAAAATGTAACTTTTCACATGTCTTGATCGAATGTATTGCCAAACATGCGCCAAAATAACTGACTGTTATAAAAAAACAAGTGAAGCTGAGGCACCAGTCAACCTAATAATAACACTGATAATCTTCAAACATTACTCAACCTCTGACGGAAGCACCAAACTCTTACGAAGGTTCAAAATTGATGACCACTTCAATCTAGCAGACCACTATTATAATCTTCATGCAGTCATTGTTCACTCTGGTTCTGGCGTTGGATCTGGTCATTATTACTCCTTGGCTAAAGACGAAACAGACTGGTTCAAGTTTGATAATAGTTATGTCACTAAGTGTTCCGGCGATGTATTGAATTTATTGGATCCTCTGGAGACACCCTACATTTTGCTTTATGAGACAGAGAGAGGACATTGGCAAATCAAGATCTTTAGAAAATGTGGTGAGGTTTTTACCGGTTTTCTTGCAGCTGAAAGAGCACTGAAATCAATGAAGTCGCCCCGGAACGCCAATTAATATGATATCTGATTCTATGATTCGTCTTTGTTAGTGTAATATTTTTGAAAATTCAATAATTCAAAGTGAAACTGTAACTGTACAACTGTAAGTTACCTCAAGACAGTGTCGTGTAGCGATGAAAATATTCTACACCTCTTGAGTATGAGAAAAAACTGAACTAGTAAGCCTTTGAAACAAAATTTAACTGAAGAATAATGATCATGTATTTGATGTATCAAGTCAATGGTTTGGATCTAATGTTTTTTACCCTTATGGCTTCTATGAGTATAAAAAAATTTTGATATTCCGAAATAATTTTTTATATGTTTACAACTCTCAGAAAGAAAAGTATTCTATTGGAAAGAAGTTATAATAATAACTAGCCTTATCGAGGAATTCAATATTCGTAATTAAATTGTAGCTTGATATATCACTTTTTGACTTCTTATAATCTGTTGAACAGTTTGACGTAATTTTCCAAATATCCAAAGAATGATTGTCCAATGACTATTAACTTCATTACCTCTCAACCAATATTTTTTTTTGTTAATAATTGAGTGGGAACCGAACTGTGATGAATTATCTCATCTATTTAAACATGTTCTGGATAATGGCCTCATCAGCGCGGTGTAGCCAAATGCAGAGATGGACAACACTTGGTTGCTAAAAACGGGAAAATAGCACAAACGAACGGAGTCACCAAATGGAGCCTACCGCACATTTATGGTTCCAGTTAGAAGACCTAGAATTTCTGGGATATCCTAATATCACTACGGAGGCACCACCTCCGCACTTTGAACTACCGCACTGATGAGGCCAATAGCCAGAAACACGTGTCCGCCGTTTGCCAATAATGTTTCTGGTCATTTCCATATTGATTTCAATTTAAGAGCCACCGGTATACAGCTGTTTCAGCCTATTGGACATCGTCAGTACCGAGCAGGCGGTCCTTGACTAAAGACAACAAACAACTGGCACTGACAACTGTCATGTGATTCAGTTTGAAAAAAGTGGGTTTGTATGTCTATGTTAAAACTATGGAACAAATGAGAACTGTTATGATGCAAATTTGATCAGAGACACCTGCTGTTGATTGCTTATATAGCAGCAGATGTCTCTGATCAATATTGCTGTTATGGTGCAAGTGTGATTAGAGACATCTGCTGATGTCAGTTTGCTAACGATTTTTAGTAAATTAATTCAATTATCTTCTTTAAATCAGTGAGATTGAGATGTTTCAATTGTTTAAATGTAACTTTCTTTTCGACACGGCCATCCTCACTAACAGTAATTTTACATTGTACTATCATCATTCAAATTTTGTAGCTCTTTCTTGAAGATAATAATACATTTTAACTCGTGCTATAAGAGTACACTTTCGTTCTGTTGATCACCCAAACATATTTTCCAAGTAGAAATGATGGTTTTCAAAATATAAATAACTGCTGATTAACGGGAAAACAGATTTTAAACAGAATTTTTTTCAGATTTGATTTGAAATCACTCACATTTTTGCTGAAGAACTATAAAAATTGTATTTTTTTAATCCATAGTCAGTTTTTCCACGTAATTTTCAAGGTTTGTCTGGGAATCAAACTGATAAATCTCATGAAGAATATTCGAGTATACACCGGTTTATTTTCTCTATGAATAGTATATGGAATATACATTCACATCGAATTAATTCCAGGTTTTTTTAATCAATTATGAGAACTGAATTTTTTGAATAATGATCAAACTTAAAGTCTATTTTTCCCGTTTCGGTAGTACACAAGTCATACAATATTGTCTGCAAAGGAAAAGAAATATTTATAAATCAGAAATTGATAGTGCACAACATGACACAAATTCGATTAGAAGAGGAGCCAAAATCGAAGACATAAATTTTCATCACTTCAAATTCAACAATTCAATTCAATTATCAACAATCACGTATTGATTACTATTTATTTTACTATATTTGTTTGAGTATCTCTGAAAATCAAACTCATTTTTACTCAAATATGTTATTACAAATGAAATCACTATGAGAAAGGATTCGAATATCAAAAAAAATATGCAAAATATTAAAATATGTTTGACTGATGAATGAAATGAATAAAACCACTGTTGTCTAATTTCCACTAGTTAATTTGATCTATACGATCGGTTTCGGGTTTAACCCATTATCAAGTAGGTTCAAAACTAAAATGTGAAATTTGAAAACTCGGTTATATCAGGAGTTTTTAGGAAAGATAGAAAGACAAGTAATAGACGAAGATTTGCTGCACTTTCAACAAGATGGAGCACCTCCTCACTATGCAGCTCCAGTTAGGCACTGGTTGGATACTAATTATTCGAACAAATGGATTTGAAGGAGAGGTCCCATTGAGTGGCCACCGAGGTCACCAGACTTGGCGCCACCTGACTTTTTCCTGTGGGGTCACCTTAAGTCAGTTGTTTATAAAACTCAACCTGCGTCACTTGGGAAATTGCGAGAAAGAATTACGCAAGCTTTCAGCTTTCGTTCGTGAGATATAGCCCATTGTAAGTTTTGAAATTGACACACTGTATATTGTGTTCTCTGCAGTTTTGGTATAATGTGTTTTAAGAGTTTTTCCTCATATTATCTTTTCTATTAGAGAAACTGGTACCTGATTGTTAACTGCAATTTGCCTAATTATTTTTAGTTCATCTTGGAAATTATTTTCAATTAAAGGGATTGCGAAAGCTCTGTGTACCATTGACCTAAACGCGGATAACTTATGTGAGAGTGGACTGAAAGAGTCGAAGAGAATTTACAGTCTGTGAATTGGTTTTTCCGGTAGATATTGAATTGAAAACCATTACTGACTATTGAAATATTCAAATATAAGAATTTAAGCCCCTTGTTTTGTTAGATCTCTACTGTGAATTTAATTTTGTTATGTTTGAGAAAGTTTAAAAATTCACTAGTTGAACCATCAAAACCAACCACTACGACATCAACATATCTGAACCAAAACACAATAGGTTTCTGAGAAAGGGGGTTATTGAGGATGCGGATATTTTCAATAGTGTCCAATAATGGGGTTAAGCCCGAAACAGGTCGCATAAATAAAATTAAGTAGTGGAAATTAGACAAAAATGTTTTATTCATTTCATTACAGCAAAATATTCAATTCTTTCAATCCCTTACATGATATTTTCAAATTATTATTTTTAAACTATCAGGCATACTGCAATAATATTAGACTTTTCCGTTTTGATTAACATACTTTTTGTGGTCTGCAGGTTTTTGTGCATGACGTTTCGTCTACTACTGCGGTAGATATTATCAGAAGCGATGTGGTCGCAGTGCCCGAATTGTTGTCTCCGTCGTTTCGACCGCATTAACTACGATGCTCGTATTTGATTACTTGATTGGATTATCAATTAAAAAAAACAACTCACGCCCGCTACTAATAATATAAAACCAGAGTCAAATACCAACATCCTATTCAAAGCGGTCGAAATGGCGGGAACAACAACTCGAGCAACTCGGGAACTGCGACCGTTACCACATCGCCTTTGGTACTGTCTACCGCAGTAGTAGACGAAAATTCAGGTATGAAAACCTGCAGATCTCGGCTAAAAAAATCGAAAAATAGCTTTCACAAAGTTTCTCCGGCCGTCAAAGTTTACATTCTTTGATCAGCATATTTTTTGTCTCTAGCCTCGAATGTCTATAA